AGTTTGTAGCCCGGGTCAGCTGGCATTTACTGTAGATGCCTGCGTTTAGATTGATAAAATGTGCATTTAATGGGTGGGCACATCAGGGGGAAAGAGCTAGTTAAAAATGGGGAGGGTGCGATCCACACAACAGCTGTGGAATGACACTTGCAGGAGCCAGGATCAAAAGGAAAGGCCGTGGTTCGTTGTGCAGCAGGTGGTGGAGCAGTAGTCCTCACCTGGCTTTGCGTGGGCTCAAGGAGAGTCCAGGGAAGTTCAGAAGAAAGTCTGTGACAGCTACTTCTTGCTTAAAAGCCACATCTGGTTTACTAAGTCCTTGAGATGAATCGTAGAATCATAGCAGAGTTGGGCTTGGAAGGGAGCTACAATGAGCAGGGACATCTTCAACTAGAGCAGGTTACTGTTTCCAGGGATGGGGCATCTACCACCTCTCTGGGCAACCTGGGCCAGGCTTTCTGGCCACATCTGTACACTGAGCTCAACAGATACTGAGTCTGACATAGTGCTGCTGCACCGGAGTAGGCTCAGGACCAAGAGCTACCCCAAGACCAAGCTCAAATGCTGAGTTACCCCAAGGCACACATACATGGGAAGGAGCTTGGAGAGCTCTCAAGATAGCTGCCTACAGCCCGGGTGGGGGATGCTGTTTGGCCCATCGTCGTTTTTTTTGTCAGAGAGGTAAAGAGCAGGAGCTGAAAGTCAGCAGCCAAGAACCTTCTTGGCTGGGAAGGAGGCGAGAGGGAGTGGGATACCTCTGTACCCCACACTGCTGACAGGAAAGGGGAAGATTTTTTTTTTTTTGTCAAAAATTGCCAGACGTACACCCTTCCATTTTGTGCATCACTGCTATTTTCTCTACAGAAAACAGCTAAAAAACAGAAAACAATAAACTGGCAGAACATCTAGCACCTCAACCTCTTTCAAAAACTACTGAAATTGCTCAAAGACCTGCCCATTTATTTTGAGCTGAAGAGGGATATAAAAAATGCTATGACATTAAAGAAGACTAAAATGACTGTAGAAGCCCACAAGACTAGTAGACATCATAACAGACTACATCATCATCTGCTTGAGCATCAGGTATTGTGTGATATTCCTGTTCTGACCTGTTCAGCTGCCAAATTGTGACCATTCATGATGCAGACATTGCAAGGTGGGATTTCTTTCTTGGCGCCTCAGCGTTATCTCTTACATGCCCAACCTCTATTGAACTTGAAGGGAGAATCAAATGCAAAAGGCTAAGGGTTTGGGCTTTGGTCCATCTTGGAAAATAATGTGCTTTTAACTGTAAAAAATTAAAACCTATGATACAACAGAGGTTAGGACCAAATAAATTAATATTTTATGTTTTTCACCCTAACCTTTCATGTCACAGCTTGGACTAGTTCAGCAATCCCTGTTCAGGTTAACAATTTAGAGCTCTTATGTAAAAGTGTCACACACACACACACACAAAAGGCTACAGAACAGTCCTTTTAGGAGGATTTAAGCTGGTAAGTACAGAGAAAGTGGAAGATGGTCTCATAGAAAGGAACAAAATGCAGCGGTGTGTCACAGTCGAGGCACCTGCCGAGGCGAGAGCAGAGGAGAAAGCCGCCGTTATGCAATAAAGTGATGGAGTTTGGCATTCAGCGCTTTTTCTTTAGTCAGCAAATCCGTACTGTGCTTTCTGTAAGCATCGAACTGCAGCGAGAGTTCCTTGTATGCCTGCTTGCTGCTTTCGAGCTGTTGTTGGAGCTCTTGGACCTTCAGGTCATATTCCGCTACTGCTGCCTCTTTCACAGGGCGCTTTCCTGCTCTCTGCCTGACTTTTTGTGCAGTCGCCAGCTTCTTCTCCAGCTGCTGAATTTCCCGTTGCTTATCTTCCAGAGCTTTGCCCCTCTCCGTGGCCAGGTTCAGTAGTCGCTCTTTCTCCTCGTTTACCCTCTCCAGCTTGGCCTGCAGCTCACTGCCCTGAGCTCTCTGCTGACTTTCTGCATGCTCTACCTGTGCAACGGTTTGTTGGTGCTTCTCCTGTAGGCGTTGCAGCTGGGTTTTTAGTGAATCGACTTCCCAGGCATAGGCACTTGCTTGCTGGCTCTGAGCTTCTAGCAGCTCCTTTTCTCGCTCCTGGGCTTGGCGACTCTCATACACATGCTTCTCCTGCAAGGAGTCTAGCTGCTGTGAGAGCTGCCTGGCCTGCGTGGCGAGCCGGAGCACTTCAGCTTCCTTCTCCCTCACAGTCTGGCTGAAGAGTGCTTCGTTCTCCTGCCGCAGGCACTTATTCTCCTCCCACAGCTGCATATGCCGCTTCCTGTGTTCGTCCTTGAACTGGATCATTTTTTCATGGTTGTTGGCCAGATCCTTGAAGTGCCTCTCCAGATGCTGAATCTGTTGGGTCTGGGTTTTCATTTTCACAGCATCCTCGGTCCTCAGTTTCTCCAGCTCCATGTTGAGCTGCTCCAGGCCTCTGCAGCATTTGCGTGCATCGTCTGCTTTCTTCTTCAGTATACAGATAAGGTGATGCTGCTGTTCTAGGCGTGAATGCAGCAGAGCCTTCTCACTCTTCTCGTTGGGGCTCTCACAGAGTTCCTCCAGGCCTTTTGTCAGATCTTCCATGTCTTTGCCCGTTTCTGGATCACTTTTGGAGTTGGCCATCCCTGCCTCTCTGTCATCCTGAGCCATGGAGCCCTTATCTTACACAAAAATGAGACAAAATTTTATAGCAACTGTTTCTCTTGGTGACGTTAAGCATATTTAAATGGTACCCAATGGTTGTGTGGCCAACAACACTGCTCTAAGCTGGTGGAGTTCTTCTGGAAGTCCAGAGGAACCTGGGCAGGAGGACAGGACCTCCGGAAGCCGATGGCAGCCTGCAACCCACGGGGTCGTGCAGCGCTCCCCGCCTGCTTCGCCCTGCTCCCAAGTCGGGCGGACTGATGAGAAGGATGCCAGACTCAGCGATGCAAAACAAAGAATGCAGGCTTAGTGTTTATGCAAGCCTATTCATCTGCTGATTACTAGCTTTTCTAATTAGTCCTTCTCAAAGCGCTGTTGTTGTAGCTACAAGAACTACTATTATATTTCAGTAAAAAGCTTGTAAGTGATAAAGCTGTAAATAATTCCTTAACCAATCCTTTTCCTCTGCCTTTATTTTCTCCTACAGATCTGGTATTATGAAAGCAAGTAAAACAGGGAGGGTTACATCAAACTTCTAATTGATTTATAAGATTTTTATAATATATGGCTCATTAAAAATAACTGAATAGCCTTATCCCGTGCCTAGAGATTTGTGAATAAAATAGAAGATCTATACAATGCTGATAATTACTGGATGCCCTGTGATACAAAGACTTTGTGCTTGGAGAAATGGTTCATCATCTGAGTTTTGACACTGATTTGCTCGATTATTTCAGGTATGTAATTTTAGAAGTCTGGTTCCTCATGTAAAAATAAGGGAAATATTTATATTACGTTGGCACCAGAATCATTACTGGTGCCTAACCATATGGCCTGCTACCCGGACATATGAAAAGTCAGCCTAAAACTGATCTACGAGTTTTTCATTCAGATGCAGACCTAGAACTACACAGCACAGGAAGCAGCACGCTGATCATCCAGCTTTGTGAATTCCTGGGCTTTGACTGGAGGTAAGGATAGAATGTGGGAAGGAGCCAGCTTGAAGGAAGGATGAAAAATAATGTACAGCAGAAACGAATTCAAGCCTGTGGAGTACGGCCAGTTTCAGTGCTGCGTGGCGGTGACCGTCGGTAGGGACGCTACCTCTGTCGCCGCCATCCTGCACTCCCCCACCACTGTTGCTACCTTGGATCCTGCCAAAACCTTCCGAAATGAAGGAGGAGAGGGGGAAGGACTGAAAGATTTAGGCCATCCAGTGGAAACACAATGAAGAGCAGGATTTATGAGGAGAAAAATGTTTTCTTACCAGGTGGTTTCTTTCCCCTGGCTGTTTGTTGCTCCTTCTGCTATGGGGTTTCCGTCTCCGTGGAGATAAGAGGCTGAATCCAGTCACCCCAGAGCTTATGCCTTCAGCTGGGCTGGTTGGAACTGCACCAGCCCCACCAGAGCAGCTGAAAGAGCTGGGGGTGTTTCTTAGCAAACAAATGCTGCTGGCCATTTTGGAAGCACCCAGATTTGGTAAAGGGAAGAGGATTTCCACAAGTCTGAAGAACTGTCTCTCGGCTTGTGCCCTATGTGCACCAGAGATCAGAATAGCAGGCTCTGTCCTTCTCAGAACATGCTGAAGGTCCACAGTAAGTAAAGACACAGCCCTTGCCCCTAAACAATCTGCAACTTTATTCAACAGTTAATGACAAATCTGGTGGATAAGATAGGGAAGGGGAAAAAAAAATGCAGCTGGAAGGAAAAAGTCGGTGTAGGTTTTGCTGACTCTACTGGAAAAGGAGAGGAAGCAAAGGGAAGTGACGAGGGTAAAGGATACAAAACGAACAAGACAAGGAGGATGCAGTACCAGGTCTTTCAAGATGGGTAAAATCAGAGTGATGTGGGTTGCTGTGCCAACTCAGGTTTGCAGGCTTACCTGCAGAAATGGGAGGTGGAAAAAGGAATGGGAGGCTGCCGACCAGGGCACACGAAGGGAGAGCTGGGACTTTGAAGCACCTGGTTTATAGAAAGTAAAATGGTGTAATTTAGAACACATATTTGCACATACACATACATGTGTACCAAAAAAACCCCAATCTGTGCTAAAGCAAAGATGAGCATGTAAAGTGAAGGACAAAAAAAGGGGGGGGGGAGGAAGAGTGCTGTGTTTCTCCCATTTGTTTTCTCTGGGCAAGGATGAATGTACATCAAGACATTCTAGGAGCATGGCTGCTTTGTCACAAAGGTGAACTGGAATTAAGAAGCAAAGCATAGCTGTTAATTTATCAAACTGCCCTTTAGTGAGGAACTACCTCTACACCTTTAAAGTTTTGGTTATGGGTGATTAAAACCTTTCCTTTTGACTGTAGAGCAAAGAAACTAGTTTCTTGAAAGTCTTTGTCTTAATCAACTTCATAAAGTTGCATTTCTCTGTCAGCATTGGAAGTTACTACTCTAGTTAGGAATGACTGTGAACTTAGTGGAAAGCTGTATTTATTATGTGAACCATGTTCAGAGGAATGCCAAAGAATGCCAATAATCTTTTTAAAATAGTAAATTTTGCATTACTTTAGTTAGATATTTTCAATACAGAATCCCTGCTGGTTTACATGATTAGAGGCAGCCATTACCTTCAAGCACCTTTTAGTAAGTCAACATAATACCCTTTAGCAGGAAGGTAGATTGTAATGTTTCTGCTCTATAATTAAATCCTACAGCACGCATGGAGCAATCAAAGTACTTTTACCACTGATAAAGCAGCCTGGTTTGTGATCTTCCCTTCTACTGAAGTTCATATCACCAGGGCAGCTTTGGCTTTTGTGTATGACAACAGAAAAATGGTAAAAGGATGATAAGCTGCTAAAGCTTTGCTGAAAATCTTCTAGTTAAAGATCTATAGCTTGATGCAGACTAACAATGATAACAGTAACTTTAAAATACCTAGCATTGTTAAGTGCTACTGTACTTTTCAAAGACACTGCTGTGACTACCTGTGTTGACCTGTGAATTTGGAAGCGTGAGGAAGACTCACTTTTGGGTGTGGTGGCCACTATCCATATAGGTTTACCTGTAGTAGTCTCCATTTTCTGTACATGCTGGAAAAAGGTATTAAAAACTGGGGAGGAACACTGAATTTTTGTACTAAAGAGCCCATTTACGTTACTTGGCTCAGTTTCTTGATTAATCTAGATGAGTACATAATACTGCAGTGTCATTAGTTAATCACACTAATTAAATACAAGTGCAGTGCACAAGTGAATCTTATGCTCATGTTCAGGTAGCTTTTCAAAATTTCAACTGAGTTGTGATCTATTTAGTGTAGAGGTAAGCAGTGTTTTTCGAGATAATGACAAAATGCTGTGTCTGTCTCTGGAACAATTCAAGAATAGAAAGACTAAAGATGTCCTACTTAACCAAAAGACAAGGAGATTGACACTGTCACAAACCAAACATTTTATTTTGATGGCAGTCAAGTTTAACAATCAAAATTTTGTACAGTATAGAACACAGCAGAGTACACGACACTTGGGTGTAAACCTGGAGCCTCAAGACTCCATCTCTGCAGCTGAAGTCCGAAAGCTATTTTGACATAGCAATGCTTTTAAGCTTCACAGGAAGTGCGAAAACAACAAAAACTTTACTCCTGTGAAATTGTACGTCACGTTCACAGCAACCTACGTTTTCAGGTGAAAATGAGTTCATGTAGGCAGTGAGTACAAATAAACTAGGTGCCTCTCTGCTTTTTCCAGAATCACCACCCTTTCAGCAGTGGCATTTAAGAATACAGATGCCAAGTAGCCGCGGTACCACTTGAAGTACAAATACGTTGTTCTGAGGTGTGGTACGCACATCGTTCCCTAGTCATACAAGAAGAATGTTTCGTATGTATCTGGCAAAGTGGAATCTGTAGCAGCTACCGATCTCATCCAAAGCACCCAAAGCAGTAAGATGTCAAGACCGACAACTACTTTTGGCATTTGTAAACTCCACAGACTGCCTGACAGGTGAGAGAGAAAGTGGGTTCCCTGGCAGGTTTTTTCCATTCATAGTGTGTAATAAATATCAAGTGGCATTTAAATGTCTAAAATTTAAGCGATTGAGTTGGAGCTGTGAGGAGCCCCTTTCTCCTCTCTGAGGTGCAAGATTTCACCAGCTTCTAGACCCAGGCAGTTGTAGCAAATAAATGTGTATTTATTTTCAGAAATGTTTTCTGTCTGCATTTTGTTACATTGCATGCTGAACTGCTAACACAAAACACTGGGTTTTAATAAACATTGAATTCCTATTTAGCTTTAATAGGCTGTTTTTATTTTAAAAAAGTAATACATTTTGTATTTTATGCATTTATCTTTCTTTAGTAGCGTACATTTCTACAAGTTACACATTCCAGTCCTATTTCCTATGCTGCAAAGCTATCTAACCCAAGACCGCCATAATCCCAGCATTCTCCTAACAAACACTGTCGCTAAAGCATAGATAAGTTATGTTTTGCAAAAAACCCAAGCTAATAGATATAGGTACAGATATAGGTACACTTTCTGGAATAAATACCCAACATAATTTGTCATCACTAAAATTGGCAGGTTTAGATCCTTTAGAGTGAATAAAAAAAAATCCTGACCTCTATGCCTTCAGCATTTAAGAGTAAGATTTGTATACTAGCAAGACAACACATATATAAGCTAACTTTTTATAACCCTGATTTTTGATAGTACATTGGAATTAACAGTCCTCTGCACCTTGCAGAACAGGACACAGACAGTACTGCTTCGTGTAATGCTTCTTTCGTTATAGAAGCGACTTTCACATCCTAGAAATGTACAGCTACAGATAAAGGAACATTAAAAAACCCAAACCCTCTTCATGCTCATATTCCTTGCTGGAGAGAAGTGACATGGTATAATGAGGATACAGACATGAAGGCACATGAACAAAATGCAACCTGTTGCTGTCTTTTATTAATAATACTTCATGAGCAATCCTAGAAGAATACAGAAAGAGTTGACTTGCTCTTATTTTTTTGCTGGTAATTTACATGTAGAGGATCAGCAACGCTTCAG